AGGCCTATCACATAAATGAAAGGATTGATTGATGAGTTTAAGAACTAAAATTGAAAGGACATAGAGATGGCCAAACTTAAAAAAGAGATGTTGGTGTAGTCCAAATCGAAACACTGTTCAGTAATTGGGTTATATTTGGAGCTGTAGATCTCAACTTTAAGTTTACTTTATATGGATGGAAAGGTAAGACATAGGCTTACAACTTTCATGGAGCCCAAGATTTAAAAAGGCCATTTTCAATTCTAAATTATAGCAACAACAAAGAAGTACAAATCTATCCTATAGCCCGAACACTATTTAGTGTTTGACCCATATTTAGAATTCTAGAAGTCCAAATGACTTCTATTTTTTTTATTGAAAAGTTGAGATAATTTCTTACAATTTCATGTTTCAAGTGGTTCAAATTCTGACATTATCAATGATATTTTGGTCAAACAAAAGAAGATAAGGATTGTCACCAAGTTAAGAGTTGGTCATCCACTCATCAATTAGTCATCAAATCAATAGTTTCCAATTTTGGCCTATAAAAAGAGGCATTTTCCATATATTTAGGCATCTTGGTTTTCAAATCAAGATCATGCTTTTGCTTTCTCTCTTTATTTTTGTAATGCTTAAGTTTTATTTTTATTAATATCTTGTTTATGCCTTTTATTTTTCTTTTCTTTACTTAGTTAACATTTATCTTATTTATGTTCTTATCTTATTTATTTAGGTTTCTCTCTTTTATTATATTTAGCTAGGTTTATTATGACAAGGTGAAAAGGTTATACTAATGGTGTAAGAATAAGAATAGTGTAAACTTAATATGGACTTTAATGTTTGATACTAACATGTTTTATATTTGTTATCTTGTTCACTCTTTAATACTTTGCTTGTTAAATGACTAATCTTGAATTATGTTGTATAACACTTGGTACAACAAATACTTGGCACTTTCATAGACCATAATGTATGGTATAACCGACACCTGAGCTATGAAAGGAACTTGATTTGTTGTTAACATAAGTTATAATCATGAATGCTTGACGAGATTTACAAGTACTAGCATTAATCGAATAAGATGACTAATGTAATCATGTTAACAATATATAATCTGATTGGAACCTCCTTTGTGTGTGGTTTCCAATTCAATAATAAGAGTTTATACTATACTTGTTTGATATACCATTAGTGGAACCTCTAACCTTGACATTTGTTATTATCATTGTTTAATCGTTACATTAATATTCCATCTCAAAGTTCTCATCTTCTTCTTCTTCTTCTATTTCTTTATTATTATTATTATTAGTACTACTAATATTACTACTACTACTACTACTACTACTACTACTACTACTACTACTACTACTACTACTACTACTACTACTACTACTACTACTACTACTACTACTACTACTACTACTACTACTACTACTACTACTACTACTACTACTACTACTACTACTACTACTACTACTACTACTACTACTACTACTACTACTACTACTACTA